AGATGATGAAAAAATGCTCTTTCCCGCGAACCGTGCAACAACAGTTTTTTCGCTCTTTGAGAACAGTAACAGGATAAGCAGCAGTTACTACAAGGTAGATTCGTATGGACTTTCCCGATGTTCTAGCACTTCTTTACGTTTGGAAAACTTCGTTCGTCTTTACACTTCGTCGCTTTAGTGAGATCAAACTGTCTCCGGAATTTGCCTAGATATTTTAGCTTTGCGGGTAATATCTAAAATCTCTGATCTTTATAAAAAAGTAAAAAGAAATAAAAACTGATTAACACCATAGAAAATCGTAAACTTATTACGCCTTAAACTGCTCACTATATTTTACATAAACGCATGCAATTTTGGAACTAAATCATCAAAACAAGTGGGCGAGAAAACAAATAATGGCGCTGGCAAATCGAAGACCGCCGGCAGACAGTGGAGCCGGTAAAGGATACGGAGGAGGAAAGAACTATTTTGGTGGAAAAGGAGGCGGATACAACCAGTTCCAGTACAATGAGCAACCGCCCGGGGGATGGAACAACGACGCCGTGGAAGCAGTTTCGGAAGAGAAGTTTTTCGGAAAGCTTACCTATTATCCGATTGCAGAAGGACGGAGCACCAGAGACGTCAGCCTCCTGGGAAAAGTCCCGCGCGAAATGATGAACACCCTGAAGATCCTGGACCCAGCCTACCCCGAGCTAACAATCCCGAAATATTGCCCACTACCAGTACCCAGATTCGCTGTAGGACATGTCGCGGCACTGGTAGCGAAACTGGATATGGTAAAAGAAGAAGACCAGAGGAAGATGCTCAGCGCCATGAGTACCATCAGCAGCCGCGCCTTCTCGAAAATTGTCGGGCCGGAACCGGATTGGTATGACAAAATCGACTGGGAAAAGTGTGTTGATGGGCCGCCGCAGGAAACGGAAGAAGTCGCTCCGACTACTAGCAGTAGCAGCAAGGAGCCCGCTGGGATCCCGAAGGAATTAGTGGACTTGATCAAGAACCAGAACAAGAAGATCGAGGAGCTCCAGCGCGTACAGTTCAGCAAGAAGGGAGAAGAAGCCGGGACTACGAGCAAAGGAGGAAAAGGGAAACAGCTCGTGCGCCGCGACGCTGTGGCTTTGCCGACGAAGAAAGACGGGAAGGGAAAGGGCGCGGGGAAAGAAGGTGGGAAGAATAAGGGAAACAAAGACGTTGAGATGGCCTCGACGGTTTTAGAGGTGCCGCCAGAAATTATTCAACCCTCCACCAGAGCCTTGAACTTGCGACCGCGACCGAATGAGAAAGAACAGGGCGAAACAGTAGCAGAGAAGGACGGCGAAGAAGAACACGAGCACGCGGAGGAAGACCAGGCCGAGGGCAAGAAGAGAAAGCTGAAACTGCAGGACACCCCCGTGCTACCACCACTGCCAAAAACCCCTGCGGAAGAAGCTGCGGAGCGGAGTACGGAGAACGCCAAAAAAGCAGAGAAAAAGGAATTTGTCAACTTCAACTGGGAAGCTTACCTGGAAGACGAGTGGGAAGCAGCAGCAGAAACCTGGAAATGCCTTGAAGAAGAGAGCAGCCAGAAGCTTTCGGATGTAGGAGTGAAAACCGGAGCACATGCCGCAAAGACCTCTTTTGACATGTGGAAGCCCAAGCACATGAAGAAGCCGGAAACTTTCGCCAAGTACATGATGCGGAGCGTCACAAAAAAGGTGAAGGAAGCGGGGAAGATCTTGCCGGAGATCAATGTGGGGTCGTTGCAGGCTTCGGTGCAGTCTACGCTCACTGGAGATAAAACCGGTCTCTACCAAAAGTGTTTTTGGCACGAAGACTTCCGCAAGCACTTCATGCTCCTTGGAGCAGAATCGTACAGCTTTGTGAAGGACACGGACGAAGGAGCAGTCTGGGTAGAGAAGCAGAGCTTTGGCAGAATCGGGTTGGCTATCAGGGTGATGGAGATTCTCGACTACAGCATCAAGGTCGAAAAAGCCAGCAAGATGCAGATCGACGACGGAGATGACGCAGACCTCGCGGAAAAACACTCCATCGGCAATTTCGGGAACTACGCAGAAGAGGACGAGATTATTAACCTGGATTCAGATGACGAGGTGGATGTGGATTTTTTGGAACAGCAGTTTGACGACGATGAACTGGATGTGGGCGATTTGGTACCGAATGACGACGGGAATTTGGAAAAAGCTAAGAACAATAAATCGAACAGCAGCAAGAACGCCCTGAACTGCAACAAGACCTGGGAGTACGAGGATGAAGTGGAACAGGAAACAAACAACAGGACGAGCAGCAGCAGCAACAGCAACAGCAGTGGGAACAACAAAACAAGCAGCAGCAACACCAGCAACAGCAGTGGGAACATCAACTCCAACAAAACGGGAAAAGAGGAGAATGCGAATGACTGGAACAAAGAGTACTCGAAAGAAGAATGGGACGCATGGATGAACGGGAAGTGGGAGGAGTAGCACAGTAGTGCAGTTCTGGTTCTGGCAATATTAAAAAAGCAAAAATAATAAAAAGTAAAAAATTTTTTAAAAAAACAAAAAACAGCAGCAGTAATCCGCTTCGCACGTGCACAACAGATCTACATCGAGCGCCATTTTGGCAGCAATAACAACGACGACTTCTCGCCCACTTGTTTGAATTGAAGAAATATGATGATGAGAACTAACAGAACAGTACCGCTTTACCCACTCTCGCTGAGAGTAGGCACACGCACGTGGATAAACGTTTTGCACCTTATCCGCAACAAAATCCGAGATCTAGTAAGAAGAGGCCCGCACACGTACACCGACAACATGTGCGCGACCACTCAACAACTTATAGTAGCAATGAAAAGCTACGCTTTTGCACGAACAGCAGCGCCACGGGGGCAGTGTAACTATTGCAGACAAACAAACCGATGCAGCTGCGTAGTCACCTTCGACTATGACAAAAGAGCAAAACAAGTAACCTACTCCACCAACAGATTCCAAGCCGAGAACCTGCCCGAGCCTTGGGCAGAACAATGCAGAGACAGCAGACCACTACCAGCGCCGAGAATAGGAGGGCGACACTTCTTGCCAGTGTTGAGAGATTCTCTTTTCAGCCTTGACCAATGGATCGCCAGGGCGTTCCTGGACAAAAGCGACACACATTTCTGCAGGACCCTACGAAACAAACTGGAGATTTGTTGCGCGGCAAACGAAGACGAACGGGAAGAAGGAGAAAACGAGGAGGGAGTTATCTACCTCGCCTGGCGTCCGGGAACGCGGTCGACTTACATCGGACAAACCATTCAGCACAAGAAGACCAGATGGAAGTGCCACTGGTCCGAGAAGATCAGCGAGTACCGTGATGGACGGGGGTGCGCGTTCCATCGAAAAGAGCTGGCTGAGTACTTGTTCGTGAGAGTGATGCGAGCGCGAATAGTGGAGTCCACGCCGCTGAAAATGGCCGAGATGATGTTGATCGGGTATTTCAATGCAACGGCGAACACGATGGAGAAAAAAGCGAGCGCCAAGGGCAAAAAGTACGGGGGAATTCGGAAAACGATCATCATGACCGCCAGAACCTGCAAGGAATTCCGCTCGACGAGACGAAGAAGAGAAGGAGGAGAGCACAGAAGCCCAAGCGACAAAATTCCGAAGGAAGCGGCGCGGATTTTGAGGACGAGGAACCTGAAAGAGGTTGGCTACAAGTTCCTGAAGCTCATTACGAGGCTGTCACTGAGACTAAAGGAGCCGCCCCGACACGTTCAGACCGCCCTCACGAATCTCAACACTAGACAGGTGATCGCGCTGGACAGATATGCGAGGCGGATTTTGGCCGATGGGAAATACCTGATGTTCCAGCACCACCTCAAATGCATACGAGGCGAAAAAATAGCAGCAAGAATAGCCACGGTCGAGCTCTTCGACACATCACCAGAAGCAATCGGGCCGCTTCTCTCGATCTACAGCACGATGGCGCAGAGGTACAAACATGAAGGAACAGGAGAAGGAGATGTCATCATCCGGATAAAGAGAAAAAAGTGCGCCCGAACGCATGACTTTTTCCGAACCCGGCTGAAAAACTGGCATGGCCTATTGGCCTACTGGGAGCAGACAGGACAAGACGCACCATGTCACTGCAAGAAGATCAAAGAACTGTACCCAGATGCCCCCCTCGTTGATGGACATGTGTGCTTTTCAACAAAAACGCTGCCGCTGCTAAAACCGGGAAAAGACCCAACCTGGAACAAGCTCGGCAGGTTCCACCCGAACAGAAACGAAACAGAGAGGCACTTTGCAGCAGCCAGAAAGAAACTAGAAAAAGCGATCGGGACGAAGGTAATAAAGCTAGACGGGAGAGCAGACAGATGGGCGGCCGAAAAATCAGTAGACTGGACGTGGGTACAAGATAACCGAGTTACTGTCGACGACATTGACGCGAGCCTGCTGGCCTTTTCGAGAGCGAATATTCTGTACTGCGACGAAGTAGACAAAGACCCCGAGAAGCAGCTTTTCTTCTCTTGCAACAGGTTGATGCAGAGAACGATGAAAAAACACACCGAGGAGTACGAGAAGGTGCCGGGGTGGTTCGGGTTGACGAGAAAAGACGAAGCCGGCGAGTTTTTCAGCTTGCACAAGGATGGAGGAACTTCGATGAGAGCCAGCAGGCGACACAGGTTGCCCTTCCTGCGCATCCTGTTCAAGGCACGTTTTATCAACAAACTACAACGCGATGACTTCCTTCCGTGGCCCGATGAAGGGATAGCCTACCGCCCGCTGACATCATATGCCGGGCATTGTTACAAGCGAATTCTATCAGCAGCAGCAAAAATAGCCAGAAGGATAATCGAACCAACGGCAAGACGAACAACTTTTTATACGCAGCGACAAGTAGTGGAAGAAATTGAAAAAATCAACCGACACTTCGCAGAGACAGGGAAACAAGACGAGGAGCTACAGCTGGACACGGGAGACCTGAAAGATTTCTTCACGCGTTGCGACACAGCGGATTCGACGAGTTTCCTGGGAGGTTTCACTAGCTCCCTGGAGAACAAGGGGGTGAAATACATCGCCATGGAAGCAGACCACATCCTCCGAGAAAGACTAGATGTTCACCGAGACCGACCAAGACTGCGCGGAGGGATGGAGGAGCTGTACAGAATCGAAAAGCCAAAACCGCAGAGGAGATTTCAGTACCTGAAGAAGAAACCGGGCAAGGGAATAACCTGGATGACGCCGAGTTTTGTGAAGGAGGTGCTACAGCTAGATATCAACTTTTGCTATGTCCGATGTCTAGGACACATCCTCCGCCAAACTACTGGCGGGCCAATGGGATCCCCTGCAATGGTCGAAATCAGTAACGTGTTTGGCTACAAACATGAAAGAAGTAGTAGTGCAATCCTTGGCTTGCTGCTGTACAAAAGATACATTGATGACATTCTTCGGGTGCGAATAGCGAAGAAGAATAGCCAGCGCCAGCCCCTTGCGAACATATACCCCGGCTGCCATGTGAAGAACACGACGGCAGAAGAAGAGTTTTGCGGCATGAAAGCCACATGTGACGGAAGAAAAATACGCACGATGGCCCTGCCGAAGAAGAAAGGGGTTCCAGAAAAAAGCAACACAAGCCAGCAGCAAAGACAAGGAATTGCATACGGTAGAATAGTTTATGAAAGAATGTTAGAAACTAGTGCATAACAGTCCAGAAGTAACAGGTTCCTGCCGCCGCGCACTCCGATGCCTCGACCTTGTTATGGAAGACACGCAGAAGTCTTGCTCTTGCACAACGACCTCGACGAAGGACATCGATGACAAACACTTGGGAGGACGATGATTAGTAAAAATAAAATAAAAAAACAATAAAACGCCTGGATAAAACCGACAAAAAATAGCACGTGCAGCAGAACGCCTCGAAGTCCGAAAATGCTTATCTTTCCCAGTGAGCCCCGGTGCAGCTGGAAAAAGAGAAGATGATGATGTTGTTGTGCTAGAAAAAATGTGAACGTACTGGAAAT